GAAGGGCAGGGGCCCTGGAAACCCTAGGCGGAAGGAGCAGTCCCTGGGGGGAAAGAATGGACTTGGGGGCTGGGACTTGAGGAGGCAGCAGCGACTGCCCCAGGGCCCTGGTGGGAAGGGAGCTTCAGTACCTTGAATTTCCCCCGCGGGCTGAAGTGCCGCACTTCCTCCACATCATACTGCTGGAAGAAGGGGTGCGCCAAGGCCTCTTCTGCCGTAAGGCGGCCCTGGGGGTCCACCACCAAGAAGCGGGAAACCTGAGAGAACAGGGGGTGGGTAGTGAAAACATCGAGGCAGGGTCCTCACCAGCACTTCAGGAGACATGGGGTCTCTCCTGGCAGACTCTTCCATCCTGTGCCTGGCACACCCCCCTCTCCCCATGGCGACTGCCCCCTTGCCTGAGCCCAGGAGCCAGCGGGCCTGGCCCCTCACCAAGTCTTTCACGGTGTCCGAGTAGTCATCCCACTCGGGGGAGCCAAACTGGTAGTTGCCACTCATGATCATCCTCAGCATCAGCATCTGCTTCCGGTGCCAGAAGGGCGGGGAGCCGGCCAGCAGCGTGTACATGATGACCCCTGTGCTCCACCTGGCGCCAGGGGTGGGGAGGAAGGCGGGAGGGCTGGCTGTAGCTCTGGCCAGTTCCTCCCCTCCCCAGTCAGGTGTTCCTGGCCAAGGTGGCACCCCTGTCCCTTCTCCCCAACACACTCACATGTCCACCTCCTTCCCGTAGCCCGGGTGGTCATCGTTCATGGAGCACTGAATGATCTCAGGGGCCAAGTAACTGGGGGTCCCACAGACCTCTGCAGGAATAGTTACCATCAGGATAGGTCAGCAGGGGGCACTTGGAAAAAGAAGGTCCAAAGAAAGAAGATGGATCAGAAATGGTGTTTGCGCTGGGACTCTCCTAGCATTGGTCAACTTCAGGGGCAAGGGCAGGGGCAAGGGCTGGCTCATAGAGCCACCCCCTTGGGGCCTGTCGGTTCCCTGGTCTAGCCATTCTGGCCTGGAACTCAGGCAATGGGAACCTGGCTCAACTCAGTCCTGAGAAGAAGGGCCTACCTGAGAAGACATCTAGCCCTGAAATGATAGGATTTTTTTTCTGGGTGGAAAAATAGGGGAGGAAGCCAGGCCATCTCTGTTCCTGGGCTAATGGTGAGAAAGCCTGAGCCCCTGGAATGGGCCCACATTACCAGACCTCGTAGCTTCTCTCCTGGCTCCAGCTGGCAGGAAAAGCCAAAGTCTGTGAGCTTGATATTCATGTCATCATCCAAGAGGATGTTCTCGGGCTTCAGGTCGCGATGTACAATGTTGAGTTTGTGTAAGGTGCAGATCACCTCCAGCAGGGCTCTCATGATCTTCCTGGGGCGGGACAGGCACATTTCACTCTGGTCCCCTACTCTGCAGGGCCAGGTAGCAGGCAGGGAGACCAAAACCCACATACCAGCCAGACTGCAAGTGCGAGAGGACTCGGGCCAGTCTGGGAAGTCCAGGCTGAGCCAAGGAGGGAGGAAGGTCACAAAAGCCAGTGTCACACACCCCTACCCCAGACAAGTGCACTCCATGCCCCTCCAAGACCTGGGTGCCTGTAGCACTAGCACTCGGACAGGGAGTGAGGGAGGGGCAAGTGGGTCCTCACCTGGTTTCCTTCTCACTCAGGGTGACCTTCTCAGTGAGGTAATCAAAGAGCTCCCCTCTCTTCATCCTGTGGGGACACAGGGTTTGTAGCTGAATTGGTCCCAAGACCACCCCTTTCTTACCCTGCTCCCAGAGAGCTCCTTCTCACCCTGTACCTCCAGAGGCAAATGACCAAGGTCTGCAGGGAGGAGCTGGGAAGTGCGTGGAGAGGTGGTCTGGGAAGACCAGAAGAAGAGCAAGGGAGGTCGGAGGGGTAGGATGGCACCAGTGTGAGGGTGCTCCCCCATCTGTGGAAGGACATCATGAACTGGGATCTATCAGGGCCAAAGTCAGGGCTGGGAGGTAAAAAACTGGTCCAAGGCCCCCCTGGCCCAAGGACCCAAACCCACATCAGAAAGACAGGAGTATCCTGATTTTTTTTTTCAGGCTCAGATGGAAGGAGTGGCAGTACAAGTGTTGGAGGAGCAGTTTTGCCTGTTTGGGGATTAAGAATTGCTGTTCAATCTTCTCATTTCTTGGAGTGGTCTATAAAGAGGTCTGTGCTAGAACAATCTAGTTATAAGCTGGCGAGTAACTTGGGGCAGCATTAAAAATAGATTCCCCAAGCAACTTCTTCAAAGGTTAGAGACATCCGAGCTGCCCCCAAGGACAGTGCCACTGAGTGGAGTTGGGGCAGCTGCCGCCGATCTAGTCTGGAGGGGCCCTGGGGAAGTTTCCCTGCCTTAAATAGAAAAGGTGCATCCTGCCCCCTCTCACCCAGCCCTCTAGGGAAAGCAGTTGGATTCCTAGGGCTCAAGGAATTTTGCCAGTGTCACTGGGAGGCAAGAAAACCATTGAACTTAGCTGCCAGAGCAGCAAGACAGGTTCTGTTCGAGGAAACAACCTAGAATTTACAGAGATAAGCCTTGTTTTATACAACATCTGTAATGTGTTCCTAAAAAGCAACATATGAATCCAGCTTTTGTCATTTTAATTCCATTTTAAAGACACTAGGAGAACTCACTATGAGCAATAGCAGCAGCAGCAGCAAAAAAGATTTACCTGTAAGTACTGGGGACTGTGCAAGTTCCATCAGCAGGCTCCTGCCTTCCTGGAGCTGGCAGTTTAATTGCATGCACACGCCAACTTACATTGTTTCTCCAAGTCAAATGACACTTCAGTACAGCCACAATATGAAATGTTCCAACAATTACAAAATCTGCTTGAACAATTTTCTAAGAAACCCAGTCCCTAAACTAGCTGTTATGTATGGAGAAATGAAGACACCCCTTTCACAGTGGGCCACACAGCAGAGATTTCTGTTCTTCAGCTAGGACTCAGGAGAGTTGGGAAACAAGGAGCCAGGGAGCTCCTTTCCCTGGGAACCTTTCTAACAAAAATGGTAATAGCGTCTGAATGCCCCATTCACAGAGCACTTTGTGTTGTTCGAATTTGATGCTTGGAGCCTGGTGACACAGGCAGAGTGGTTGGTATCATTTGTCCTTTCTTGGGAAAACAGAGGTTCTCAGAGCTGGAGGGCCCACTGGTGCCCGTAACAAGGAGCTCCCCTCAGTAGCCCTGCTGGTGCAGACACAGGGGAATAGTGACACTCCCCTGATGATGACGATGATGTCCATCTTAGAACCGCACCGCAGACACAACCCTTACCTCCCTGGTGGGCCTCTCACCTCAATACTACTCCTCCTCCTCTCCACCCTGGCCTCCTGACAGTCGGGGGAATCCTTTTCAAAAGCAAATCAAATCATTGCTCTCCTGATGTCCACCCTCCAAAGTCCTTACCACAGCTAAAATGCCCGCAGAATCTGGTCTTCGGTCCTGTCCGACCTCGCATCCTGCCATCACCACAGGCTCGCTCCACTCCCCCACCCTGGCTTCCCTGCCAGTCCTCCAGCACGCGGAGCCCGTCCAGCAGGGCCCTTGCTCTGGCTCTCCCGTCTGCCGGAAGGCCCCTTCTCCAGGTCTTGGTTCAGATTCCTCCCTCACCTCACCCAGGTCCCTGCTCAGGTCACGTCCTGCAGAGCCTTCCCTCACCACGTCATCCAAAGAAAAGAGGCCTCACCTCTCCCTAACTGCCGTTCAGCTTTGTGTGCATGGACTTGGCTGCGTGTGTATGTTACGGCGTGATCGCTTCCTGTTTGAAAGTGATTACATGAAGTCGGGAACCTTATCTGTCCTGCTCACGGTCATACCCTTAATGTCTAGAGTCAGTATTGAATGACCATCATCATCATTGTAGCTAATTGTTATTAATATTTACATTGTGCTGGTAGCTGTGCTGTTATTAGTCCCACAATACTGATGAGAAAATGGATTTTTAAAGAAAACATCCAACCCATAAGTGGTAGACCCAGGATTCAAAACCTGGCAGCCTGACCCCACCCCAGGGGCTGATCTGATTAAAGCACTTGTGATCCTATTTGGCATCCACAGTGTAGGGGTCTGGCTGCTAGTCTCCGGGGAGCCCTAGATGAGGGACCACAACACGAGGTTCCCGATGGGCCTCAGGGTATGGCTGGCTCCAGGGCTGGGTACTTACAGATCAAACACCAAGAAGAAGAAAGTGTTGGTCTCATAAGTGTCCTTCAGCTGTACTGAAATGGAAATGGCTGGCTTGTCTCAGGTGGCAGAGGAGCCTGGGCAGAAGCAGCGGGGCATAGGGGCAGGGGGATTAAAGCTGCTGGAGCTGACTTCAGAAGTGGAGGGGGTATCTGGATGGGACTCAAAGGAGGCCCGCCAGGGGAGGGGGCAGGCCCAGGGACTTCACATCCCACCCCCACCGACACCCAGCCCCAGAGGGACCCCTTCTGACTGGCTGGAAGAGGAGACTTAGAGCTGAATCCCTGGAGCAGTCTTCCTGGAGGTTGGAGCTGGAACCTGAAGCCTCAGGGCACTGGGCTGGTGGGGCCTCAGGGTGCAGGAGACACTCTGGACAGTTCTGGCTAGCTGCGCAGTGGGCTCTACTCCCTGACTTGGGTTATCAGGGCAAAAGCATGGTAGAGCACCCCACTATGGCTGGGAGCCGACACTCACTGATGTTGGGGTATCCTGACACCTTGTGCAGGATGTCCACCTCCTTCAGCGTGGCCTCTCGCAGCTCCCGCACCTCCTTGGGGCTGAAACTGCCTCCGCCGGTGACGTCAATGATCTTCACGGCGTACTCCTTGCACGTGGGCTTGTGGATACAGCGCCTGACGACACTGCTAACTCCCCTGGAGGTGCAGAGGACAGATGGTCCCAGGGTGTGTCCCAAGTCCAGGCCACAGCAAAGATGTCCTGCCTTGTTCCCCAACTCCCAGTGAGCTTTTGATGACAATAGGATACTGATGAATAACAAGCCTGGTCCCAGGCTTCTTAATTCCCGGCTCAGTGTTCACACATAGAAAGAGGCTCCACACTCTTAAGGTCATAAGCTTCCTCTGACCCCTGATCCCTGACCCTGGCCCAGTGCTGGGTTTGGATGTGCTTGTCATCAGCATCAGTCAGCACTGCGGGAAGCTCTTTGCCAAGAGAGGTCTCTGATCTGGGTACTCTTACACCCCCTATCTGTCCTGTTCAGGAGGGGAGGGATTCTCCAGTTGCACAGTGCTTTGGGATGGAAATGGGCTCGGTGCTCAGGGCCAAGCAGAGATTGGCCCAGCCTGCAGAGCCGGCGGGTGCCTACCTAGGACAGCATTTCCTGGGGAAGGTCTGGGCCTTACCTGCCCAGGATCTCCTTGGGCTCATAGTTCTCATAGAAACCCTCTGTGGAATGTGAGTCCAGCAGTGCCTCGTCCCGTGTCATGCTCAGCTCCTTGGGGTAGTTCTGAAGGGCTCTGAGAGGGGCACAGAAAGAAGCTGTCAGCCATCCTGACCTAAGGGATGTGCTCTTTGAGGGCTGGGACCATCTTCACCCATCTTTGTCTCTCCCAGCACAGGGCTGGCCTATTGTAAACGTTCAAAATAAATATTTGTGTGTTGAAAAATGCTTTGGAAAGAGCCCAGCATCGTTCTTCCCACTTCTTCCCACTGGCTGTGAACTCTTGTGAGCCCAGGTGCCCATGTCTCCCTGCAGGTTCTCTCTAAGCTGCTGCTTCCCCTGCAGGAGCAGAAATACTCAGCCAGTCCCAGGCTGCGCAGGACATCGGGCCATCAGGCCCCAAAGGTAGCTCTGAGGAGGCTGACACACCCTTGATTTTAGAAAGAACCACAAACGCCCTGGCTTGGTAGCTCAATAGGTTAGTGTCATCCTGATACACCAAGGTTGTGGGTTCAATCCCTGGTCAGGGCACATACAAGAATCAGCCAACGAGTGCATAAGTAAGTGAAACAACAAATCCATGTTTCTCTCTCCCTCAAATCAATCAATAAAAATAAACTTGGAAAGAACCACAGAGAAACTCTTTAGAGGACAAATGCAAGTGCGGTTTCCTCTCCTCTCTGAGGAGATGAGGCTGGTGCTGCTTTTCCTCTGCCTGCTCTCTGCGCTTGTGGAAAACGTGAGAAGCTGCACAATGTCATCTTCCTAACATGCTGCTCTTACAGCCTCTCCTTGGCTACCCGGGTCCTAACTGTTTGACCCTGAAAACACCCCTTTCAGAACATGCTTCCTGACCTTCCCACTGCTCCTTCCTCTCTCGTTTTGTCCTTAACACAGATTTTCATAATCACCTTTCCTTCATTCATCCTTTTATACTCTTTGTAAAGCACTGTGCGAGATGCTCTGGGGGATGCAGAGCTCGATGGGAGAATCCTGGTCCCAGCCTCTGGTGTCACTTGTCAGTGAGTGCTGTCATGTCTCCCATTAAACCGTGATCTTCTCACCTGGCCGGAGTGGCTCAGTTGGTTGAGGGTCATCCTGTGCACTGAAAGGCTGTGGGTTCGATCCCTAGTCAGGGCACATGTGGGAGGCAACCAATTAATGTTTCTCTCTCACATTGATGTGTGTGTGTGTCTCTCTCCCCGCTCTTCTCTAGTATTAAAAAAATAAAAACAAACAAAAACTGTAATCTTCTCTAGGATGTCCCAGCCCCTCTGTGTCCAGTGCAGACATGTAGCAGGTGCTGCTCCCTAGATGTGAGTTGTTGGAGGTTTCCCTTTGGTGCACTGTTCTGTTGGCAGAATGCCCCGTGTCCTACCTAACAATGACCAGCGAGCCGAGTGGTCCTGCACAGTGTGGGGCAGCACAGAGCTAGGACACTCAGGCCTGGACACAGAGGAGCTGAGCTGGCCAGCTTTGCTTCAGCTATGTAGAGGCCACAGGGGTACCGACCTCAGATGAAGGATCTGAGGAATGGGGAAAGTTCTCTACTGACAGGAAGAAGAGCAGACAGAAAACAGGCACAAGCTGCCACTTGGCAGGGCCCAACTGTTCTAGCCCCACTTCTACTGCCCTTTCTGGGCCCAACAAGGCCCGTCCTGTCCAAAGGGCCAATTTGCTGACCAGCCAAGCTGCAGCCCTGGCTGCCTCGGGACTCGGACTGACTGTTCCAGGAAGCCTGGTGTCCCCACTGCTGGGTGCCTGGTTATCAGAGAATGAGAATAACAGTCTCCTCTGCCAGCAGCAGGCACCTGAGCTGCTCACAGGCTGCTTCTGCCCTGTCAGCAACCCCAACTGAGCATAGGAGAGCCTGTTCCCTATAACATGGAGTTTGGTTCCTGGCAAGTCCTTTTAAGTTCCCAACACTGGATAGACCAATTCTTTCCCTTCCCCCAGCCCTCCATGGGCAGAGGGTATATCTGGACCCACCCCAGGATGCCATCCCAGCCTAAGGATCCATTCCATGCCACAGCCAAGTTCAGCTAGTTCTGACTGCATTCATCTCTCCTGGAGTGGGGTGGGGGAGGTTTCTCTTGCCCTCTCCCCTTGTTCTAGGCCTAACTTGGGGCTAACTTTGTGCCTCTGTTCACTGACCCCACCTGCACCCCCCACACTGTCCCTAAACCTCTTTGAAAGGGGTCATCAAATGGGCTTAGTGGTTTCTGGAACATAACTTCCCTCCCCCAAACTCAGAATCTGAAAACACAGTCACAGGCACCCACTTTCTAAACTCCTCTGGAGGCCTCAAGAGTCAATGCTGCCGCTCTTGTGGTCCACTTGCCTTCAGAAAGAAGCGGGTCTAATGGATTTCGGGGTTTCTATCTTCTCTACCCCACAGCCTCCCCCTCTCCCTGTCTGCAGCCTGGCTTTTGCCCATCACTGGCCCAGCTACTCACCGTTAGGTCCTCGCAGGCCCTTGAGTGGACTTGACAGGAATCTCAAAGGTCCCAGAGCCCCTTGCGGAAAGGGGGCGACAGAAGACTGAAGTGTGTCCTGAGCAGCTGCCCGTGGACAGGGCAGGATGTTTTGCTGCTCTTCCTTGTGCTTTGCTACTTGATGAGGGAAGGCTGAGGTGCCAAAAATAAATCACAAGGGCAAACCGGGCTGCCGGCCAAGTCTCAGCAGGGGTGACCTCTGGTGGAGGGTGAGGGAAGTTCGGGTGACCTGGGACCAGGCCTGGCAACATGAGGTGACTGACGGATCTTCCTTCTGGAGCTCAATTGGCCTCTAGGCTCAGAAGATCTGAAGCCAACCTGCTTGTCTGGGAGCTATTTCTGTTTGCTGTGATCAGGAAACAGCACACTGGTGCACCCACACTAGTGTCGGGGCCCGGACATGAGGATCTGCTCAGGGACAGTTTGTGTGGGTGCCCTACAAAATGTAGACCTTCAAGGTTAGACAACATCCGCTTCAGGAATCGACCTCTCATTTGCCTTCATTATTTCACCCTTAACCCGTTTTGTCGTCAGCCTGCAGTTTCTACCGTGAAGACTTCTGTGTGCCAGGAAAAGCATATGGGCTTTGTGTGCGACTCTGGGCTCTTCGGGTGAGGGTCCTCATCAGTATGATTCTACCGTAAGAGGTTGACAGAATTGGAAATAATGCATACAATGTGCTGGCACACAGTAGATACTTGTTCATTACTCTCCCTTATTCTAAAGCAACCTTTTTTCAAACCCTTAATTCTAATATACAGATGAAGGGGTAATTTGTATGTGCTTCACAGGAGCTGAGCCCATAAACACCTATTTGACTAGCATCTTATAAGGCCCTTCACTTGGACCCCAAAACTCTGGTAGTAGCCAATTTTAGAGAGAACGTGACTTGTTCAAAGTGGAAGAACAGGTGAGTAGGAGTGCCTAGATTAACCCCAGAGGTGAGCCCAAGTGCTGTTATATCACACTGACCATCTATTTTTCACTTTGGGGAAATACTCCACTGAATTGCTATATATAAAGGAGTTGAAAATGATTCCAGGGTCTGAGCTTTATGTACAAAGGTCTTCAGTTTATTGTGGTGCAACATCTGGCTCCAAGGATGAAAACACTTCAATCTTCACCTTTTACTTGTCAACAAGTCTTTTTTTTTCTGGTTCTAAGTTACAGACTTGACTCATACTATTTTATACTTTCACACATGACAAAATCCCTTCTGACCTTAAGGCAAAATGCTACTGCAACTAGAGGATGATTCCCTGTGCCCTTTTCTGTGGAGCCATGGTTCCTAGCAGGGCAGCCGGACTCTTATATTTTATTGTCAGTGATTCATTTTCCTTTGATTCATTAACAATATTTGGGTACACACTATACACCATTACACTTTGGTCATTAACACTATGAACTTAGAAGTCCTGAGCCTCCAGGAAAATGGGCAAAGGCGCCCACTGATGAACCCACGAGGGAATATGCTGGAGGACTTGCCAGGAATAAATTCTGTGGTCATTCAGGTGCTCAGGGCAAGGCAGTCTTGGCCCCTTTGAGGAACCGAATGATTTGGAAGAAAAGGTCACTCTACCAACACAGCACTCACCTAGTAGTAATAGCGGTCTCTAAAACTTAGAGGGGGGAAAATTAGGTAATAGAACCTATGAAAGGTACATTTAAAAGATGGAAAAGTGCAGGAGCATATTATAGACTTGGAAGTCAACTCCTAATGACATACCTCAAACTGAGTCCATCTCAAGACAATTGCAGTTCGCCTGAGTCTTTCAGGACAAGGAACCTACAATACCTTAAGTATTAGAAAAACATCTACAGGGGAACTGCCTGTATTAGAACGTTTTTCATCTCTGACCTTAAATACTAAGGGATCCGTGACATGCAGTGCTCACCTGGGCACAGGGAACCCGTTTATCACTCATCTGATTAGAACAATTAATACTTTAAACAGTTTCTTGTTACTGCTCAGTTTATTGAACACTGGCTCCAAAGACCTCTAGTACCTGAAACCTTTTTAATGAGCAGCATGTTTGCTAGTGAACTACTGCTTACATAACTAATTCTCTACAAGTAAAGTTCCTCATGGAGCTCTACTAGACCCTCTGGGTGGATGCTAATTTCATATCCAGACACTATAAACTAGATAAACTTAAAGACACGTTGAGACAATTATGTTCTTCTGCAAAATACAGTTACCTAATTTATGATTTTACACTTATCAGACACCATTTTGGAAGAAAATCACTTTATTGTAACTGATTCACAAACAGTAGTATCACGAAAGCAGGTTTAAGGAGGCCACACAAACATCTGCCCAGCCCCAAACTCAATACCATCTCAGTGAACTTCTACACAGCAAGAACACTCTTCCATTGCAATTCTGATGCAAGGAAACTATTAATGATAAAGGAAAGTTAACTTGTAGTTTTATACTTTCACTATCAATTACATTTTTATACTAAATTAATGTGGATATGAGGGATGATTTTCCACTTCTTCAATGCAAACTTCTTGATTAGGCTAATCCTGCAAACAAAAAAGGTACATTTAGAAGAGTACTTGCTGTATAGTCTTAACAAAACAGAAGCCCTCCCAATTATGGAAGGAGAGAAAAAACCCCAGGGTTTCTTCCATAAGTTATTGAAGGTACCCTGCAACCAACAAGACTTCAACTCTGCATTTGCCACAAATGAGAAAAGACAGGGCACATGTGCTTCTGGAGACAGAGTCCTGAAGCAGAAATATAGCTACTTTGATACTAGATGTAGCTTCATCAAAGAATTCTGATAAACTTGGACATGCAATCTCATATTTCCCTTGTTCAATCACTCGAAAGGATTAACTTCTCTCTTATGTCCTACCCAAAATGAAGGTGGGAAAATGAAAATAAGTATTTTAATAGATGGTGAATTCTTAGGTGGATATAAGGAAATTATGTGAAAACAAGCTGACATTCTGGAAAGCCTAAATCTCAGAGTTCCAATGAGGGATTTAATTAACTTGTCTCTCTCAAATGAGGCATGGAGAATGGCAATAACATCAGAGTCTTTATGGGCATTCCCGGACTTTGGTGAAAACAGAATTTTGTATTTATAGCCTTAAGTCTAGTTCACTCACATGCAGTTAACCACAGTAAGATCTGGCACACTAATCTATACCTGTTTAACGAAGAATCAGATTCAGAACACAACTGGTAAATGATTAAGATAATGACTAGAAACCTTGTACCAGATTCTTGCTAGAAGTTAGCTTATCTTCAGAGTAATTTTAACAAAATCTCCTCTAATCTGTCAATTTAATTTATTAAACACAGATTCCCTAAGTTCTATATGGTCTAGGAGAACAATCATTAAACGAATCAAGCATACGCAGGTTCAATTATGAATTGATGTATCACCTACCATTTGCAAATTTGCACTGTTTCAGCACCTCGCTGAAACCCTCACAAAGCTTAAGGTCACCCTGGTTTTGAGCACACTCCAAAAACTGTTTCATCTCATAGTGGCATGGGCCAAACTGCTGCTGCTGCTGGTAGGCCGGCTGAGTTCCCTGAGGCTCCTGCAAAGGCATAACGTTGAGAAAGGAAATCAGATTTATACCTGAACAAAGAACAGTATTCACTGTCTTTGAGGCTAACTGGGGAAACAACTAAACCCAGCTGCAAATTAAAGTTTCAATCTAGTAACATGGAAAGTGAAATATTTTCAAGGAAGAAAATGAGCTTTAGCAAAATTCCAGTTGTAATCAGCAAGATTCAAGAACAAAGATGCAAATAAAGTGAAATGGTTATCTGGGCATTTAAAGATCAATGGTTTAGTGAAGTTTCATGGAGGAAAAAATGGGACTACTATAGAAAAGTAGACAGAGAGTTTCAAGTATCCCAGAAATACAACAGAGTACACACCCATGCTCACCAGAAGAGAAAATTCACATACCTCAGAGGGGCAGTGGCAAATGTCAGGTAAGAGATCAGAGAGCAAAGAGCTATTAAAGAGATTTTTTGAATAGAGTAAAACTGAAGTAGTTAAGGGTAACCAACACAAAATATTTAAAATAAGGGGAAAATGGCTGTTTTACAGTGAATCAGGCCGAACTACTATAGTTCTACTCCTTGGGAAAAAAAATACAATTTGTACAGTACTTGCTGATGCTGGCCTAAGGCACTAATTCCAACCGCCAAATGTGGCTTTTGATCATTTTCTGTTAATAGCATTGTGGAGTCTAAATTTACAGATAGGTCTTACACATAAGAAACATATAAATAACTAGGTTTTTCATAAAATATATCACTGAAGGGAAACACTGCCCAAAATCTTACCTGGTAAGTAATGTCGGGCCTTGAGGGCTCAGCATTACTTCCTCCACTGAAGCCCCCAGTGATGGCATGGCCTAGCGTGTGGCCGACAGCAGAGCCCACAGCCACACCAGCTGCAGTGGTTGCCATCTGAGCCATCAGACCTGGCTGCCGGGGTGCAGCAGCAGGTGAGCCAATAGCAGATGGTGCAGCCGGTGCTGGTGGGTGAGCTGCTGGTGCTGGCCTGGGTGCAGCTCTCATCTGAGGTGCCCGGCTGTGAAAGTAAAGAACAAAAAGTATGCAGTTCCCACTTCCAACCAGGTTTGAAAATTGTCGACTTTAAAAAAAATTGTACATTAAAATAAACATCAGGATTTTCATTTTAATTTATTAAACACAAATAATACATACACACAAGAAACCTTTACAGAACACAATTCCCTGAACTATTTTATTACATTTTATCTCTTTAACCTTTGTTAAGGCTGTAATTACCAAGTATAAACTATTTTTTCCTGCTTTTTTGCAACCCTTTTCATGTATTCACATAGCCCACAGTATCTTTAAAGAAGTTATTCCAAAAAAGAAAAAGAACAGTTATTCCAACACTTCATAAAAATTGTAAAATATTAAGAGTTTAAAATATCCTTATAGGATTCATCACAAGTGTTAAGGAAAAAATGTCAAGAGTGGGAGAGCATGTTGTGGAATGTCATAATTTAAAGAGAGTTAAGGGAGGTCTCCCTGGGCTGATAACATTTTAATGAAGACCTGCAGATAGCCAAGTGGGGAAATAATTTAGTCCAATCCCTTCATTTTACAGATGAGAACACCAAAGCCTGAAGTGACTTGCCTGAACTGTTATACCAAAATTAATTTCAACTATTTCCCATCTGTAGGACATTTGGATGCTTTCAACAATTTCACTATGTCCTGTGCCACTTTAAAAAACTTCACATATATTATGCTCCCTCTACCCAGTTTTTATTGTTGGCTTGGGTGCTCTTCCCCCAAATAGGCCAGGTCAAAAGTTTATGACTTCGCTTTATAAACACGTGGTTACCCTCCTTTGGACAGAAGTTTCTTTTCATAAGTTTCTTTTCATAAGAAGTTTCTTTCCCTACACTCCTGGCACTCTGCATGAACACAGTCCAGTGAATCAATAGGTACTGTGCTAAACCTCCTCAATTAGTAATTGGAAAACTAGGGTCTGAGACCCGGCTTTCCTACTCACTGGAGGCATAACCTTGGACAAGGCATTGATTCTGAGTTTCCGGTTTCCTTATTTCTGTAAAATAGGAATAACATTGACCTCTAGGGTTACCACAAGGTGTAACTGGCAGTAAATTTTAAAAGTATTTTACGAACTAGAAAACATCACGTACACGTGAGAGCCTTAATGACTGTGTCCCCTATTAGGCTGAGACCCTAAAATGCTCACTGCTTATGGCAAGTGCTCGAAGATTATTCTCTGAATTGAAATTAGATAATTTCCCCATTATATCACCTTTCTTCCACATATATGTGTGTGTATATATATATATATATATATATATATACACACACACACACAAAGATATTTATTTATTCTTCTACTTTGACGTTTCGGCCTGTTTACACTTATAAATGTCCAGTTCTTTTACATCTTGGCTATTTTCACTTAAAATGAGCTATGAGGTATTTTAAGCAATAACTCATGGGCTTTCGAAATTAGAATATTTGCTACTAACGGAAAATTTAGCCAAAGCCCATTTACAACCAGCCTGCGACAGGCGGAGTCCGGCCCAAGCCGCGTCGGCCTTCAGACGCCCTGGTTCCCGGCCTCCCCCGGCCTCCGCCCGGCCGCGCAGAGGCCTAGCGCGGCTTCCCGCTGCGTCATGGCGCTGACAGGGCCCCAAACCCCGCGGCGGCCTCACCTGGCCGGAGGGGCCATGCGGGAGGTGCGGCTCCGGCTTCCACGCGGCATCTTAACGGCGCAGCGGTTCGGCGTCTGCAAGTACGAAACTGCGAGAAGACCCCGAGGGCTGAGCGAGAGAGCGGAAGGCAGAAGGCGGGGCTGGCAGCTCGCGACCAATCAGCGCACAGGAAGAGCACTTCCGTTTGCTGACGTCTCCGTGGCCTTGAAGGTCACTGGAAGAGCAGGACGACGCGATGGCGTTTCGTGCACCCCGATGGCGTCATGAGCTGGGCGCCCGGGCTGTTTAGAAAGCCGGAAGTACCTATTTGAGGGGCAAACTTCACGGCCCCAGCCTAGCGTGAGTCAGAACCGCTAGCGGGTTTAGGGTACAAGGACGTTTGCTGATTCCATCAAACATTTGTATTACTAACGTGGTACGTCAGATCCAACCTTGAAAGTCAGATCCCTGTCGGGACTACCACTGGACCTTGGGCAAGTTATTTAACCTTTTTCAGCATTAAATTATTTGGATAAATATTTTTTGAAGCACAGCGTGGGCACGTGATATAAACTGAGGGAAATGGAAAACTTTAGGCAGGAATTGATGGAACAAAGTTGGTTCTGTTTGCGTTTCTCTTGTCTGCGGATCCAGTCAGCAGCAACAGTTAACTTCAGACAGTGCCTTACATTTATGTATTACTATACATTTTCAGTCATTTCATATACGTCATCGAATTTGTGCCGATAAATGGGATACTATTCACTGGTTAAAATGTTCTGAATGATCTACAACTGCTAGCTGAGTTGAGATAGAGCACCAAATAAAACAAAGCTATACCTTCATGTAGCTTAAATTCAGGGAGGGGAGACATGCCTATATAGGTCAGTTGGTGGTGACAGGAAGCAAAAGCAAAGGGAGATGGAGGTATTCAGGTTGAAGAGGACAGGATTCTTTGAAGAGGCAGCATTTGAACAGAGTCCTTGAAGTTGGGAAGCAAACCATGTATTTACCAAGGGGAAGAGCACTCCAGGCAGAGGGAACAGCAATTGCAAAGGTCCCAAGGGTCTGTGCTTTAGCGAAATGCTTTCAACAATAGCATTTTACAGCCTCTACAGTAGGGAAAAAGTTGACTAGTGGCATTTCATGAGGGGCTTCATGGGAAAGTCCTTGGGGATGGGGTGGGATTTATGGAGGAGAGAAAGCAGAGGCGGAACCTTCATTTTTACTTCGATGTCCATCAGAAATTTCCCCCTTCCACTAGAGGTAGCAGAGTTTAACACAACTTTTCCAGCAACAGCAGGGTGTAGGTGGAACTGACGGGTAAATGCAAAACCTATTCGTGAAAAAGTTTACTTTCATAGGACTTCTTAAAGAAATTAAAGCTTTATAAATGATAAGACTTTGTACTTGCCTTTGGATAACTCGTAAGTAGAGACGGAGAAAAGGAACCTTATAAAGGATGCCCTGGCACAAGAGCTTAAAGGGAGAACTTCAGTCAATCAAGACAAACAGGCATCCAGATCAGAAGAGACAATTTTAATCATTCTTAACTAAGCATTAATTGAAAAGAGATTATTAGGCGTTCATACAAGGTTATTTTGTGATAGTAAAAGATTGGAAACAACCTAATATCCTAACAGAATTCTGGTTAAAAAAAATCATGGCACATTCACACAATATGTGGCTATAAAAAAGAATAAAGAAGCTTCTCTATCAATATGGAATGATTTCTAAGATAAACTATCAGGGGAAAAAGCAAGGGACAGAATTGAGTATAGTGTGCTATTATTTGTGTAAAATAGAAAAGATCATATTGCATATGCATAAAATATCTGTAGCTGGTGGGTAGCTGACTTTTACTGATAACATTTATCTTTTGGATTTTGGAACAGTTAATGTATTCCCTGTATTCAAAAAGCAAATAGAAAATATGTAAACAGGTAATTAAAATTAGTTTTTAAAAAGCAGGAATTGAAAATACCAGAATTCTCCTACACAGCACTTGTAGTTTGCCAATGATGTTCTGAAGTTTACTCTTTAGTAAAATTTATGTAACAACTTCTCATTCCATAGTGATTTCAGTCATTCTCAACAATTCAGTTATGGAGACCAAAATTTAAAGACAACTGTTGTGGGACATTATTAGAGCTATTTGACACAGGCATTTGGCTGAATGGACTCTTGATTACAGCAAAAATTCTACTCAAATTAAGCTGTAGATAACAGAAGTTTTAAAATTGTGCAAACCCTGTTCCAGAAATTCCATGTCTAGGAATGTTAAGAAACAGTCATAAAAAAAAAGGAAAATTCATGTATATGGAAGTTATAAGGATGGTCAACAAAATAAGATAGGAAAAAAGTGTAAACAACCTAAGTGTTATTCAATATACAATTAAATAAGTTATACTTCCATATAAGATATTATGCAGCCACTTAAAATGTTATGAAAGAATATTTGACATGAAAGGTATCTTCACAGTATATTAAAAGTTTACAAAATAGTATTCATAGTATATTTTGAGAAAATTTATGTATTTCAGAAACTGGCACTATATACACCAAAGGAGTGATGTTATCCATTGGGTAGTGATTTCATTTTTTCTTGTCCATATTTTTCAATTTTTCTTCAATGAACGTACTTATATTAGACATGCCATGGTGGTTTAAAATGTCCACAAATTGACACTCCTTTCAAAAGGTGAAGCCTGATTCCTCTCCCCTTGAGTGTGAACTGGATTTAGTGACTCACTTTGAATGGGTAGAAAAAAGCAAAAGTGATGGTGTGCAACTTCAGAGAGTAGGCCTTAAAAGGTATGTGGCTTCTTCCTTGTTCACTCTCTCAGATCACTTACTTTGGGGAAAGCCAGCTGTCACCTCATGAGGACACTCAAGCAGCCCAATGGAGAGTCTCATGTGGCTAGGAAGTGAGGCCTGCCAGCAGCCATGTGAGTAAGCCACCTTGGAAGCAGCTTTCCGATGACTGGTCTCAGCCAGTAGCTTGACGGCAACTTCATGAGGAGTTGAGCTAGAACCACCCAGTTAAGCCACTCTGAATCCTTGGCCCACAGAAACTGAGATAATAATAAGTGTTTGTTCTTTAAAGCTACTAGATTTTGGAGTAATTTATTACACACAATAAGTAATACACAATTTCTACAGTTACTAACTATATTTAAATTTTAAGTGGTCTAGTACCTAAAATGAACAAAATCTAGTTAGAACATATTAGAGTGATTCTTTAACAAGCTTATGTCTGTCCTACAGTAGAAATTGTGTAGGAACTGAGATGTTTGAAGCATTAAGGCTCTTATACTCTAAATGTAGTTTGTTTTTTTATAACTAAGACAGATAAATACAGTGCCTTGCACATAACAGACAAAAAAGAATGAATAAACTTTTTAACTGTTCACCTAAAAATACAAAATACTATATGAACAAGTAGTTATGTGGTGCTTATGTGAAGTTCTATATGATTTCAAAGAACAGACTGTGTGTGCAGGCATCAGGAAAAAAGTGGCATTTAAATAAGTATAGGTGGAATTAGTTTGAGGGTTAAAATTACAAAGGGGGAAAGGACATGCTAAATAGGAGAGCACAGACTCAAAACAAGAAACAGAATTATGGTGAATTTAGAGGACAGAAGACCTGTATCAAGAATCAGTGTGTTTTTGGAAGTTGTGGGTCAGAATTTAAGAAAATCCAATAGATGATTTCCAGCACAATGTAAGAAATCTAGGCTTTTTATCTTATACATTGAGGGTTTTCTATGATTTAAATGGTCTTCAGGTAGATTAATCTAGTTTAAGCAACTTGCCTCAGTACAGTTTAACTCCAAAGCCAGGACTCCTACCATACCACACGGCCTGATGTTGGAGATATTTTAAAAGAATGTAGTGAGTGAAATGAAAGACTTTTGTGACCATTGACGAAGGAAGAGGGGCTGTATTCTATAAACTTGTGTCGGATGTTCCATATATTTTATCTATAATCCAATTTGGGAAGGTAATCCAATATTATTCCCATTTTACAAATGATAAACCTGAGGCTTGGTGGAATTTGAAAGTAGTTGCCACTCAGAAGTTTGCTGACTGCAAGTGATGAACATAGCTAGGATTGATTAATATTCAGTTTGCCCCGCCAGCATGACTCTGCCGGTTGAGCATCGACCTATGACCCAGATCATCATGGTTGGATTCCCAGTCTGGGCACATGGCCGGGTTGTGGGCTCGATCCCCAGTAGGGGGCGTGCAGGAGGCAGCCTATCAATGATTCTAAACATTGAGGTTTCTCCCTATCTCTCCTCCTCTCCCTTCCTCTCTCTAAAATCAGTAAAGATATATTTTAAAATTAAAAAATACTCAGTTTGCTCCTTCCAGTACACACCTTTTTCTCCTAAGCAAGGACTCACCACTGGGTGCAGAGGCCTAACTGAATGCAGACTAAGGATAAATGAAAGCTACCCTGCCACACTGTATATAATTTTGAAACTAAAATTCAACTCTTATCCTTGGACATGGAGTTGTGAGTGGTTCTGAACCACATAACACTGTCTACAGTTGAGGAAAACTGTGATGCTGGAAAGTGTAAACGCTTATAAAAGTATCTGCTATGCCCATCTTTCTATCCAGCTGCATAACCTCTGGAAAGTTGTGTGAACTCTCTGAGCCTCAAGAATCTCCTCTATAAAATGGAGATAACAGCGTCCATCTCAAAGGATTGTTGTGGGATCTGCAGTACAGAGAACCCAGCAACTAGGTTCAACAGACACTGTTACAATTTAAAGTACTCCTTTTCTTGGAAAACAAACCTGCAGAGTAGTCTTTGATACTGAATTGAAATCCTGTACTAATTCCTACCTGTGTTTTCCTCTCCCCATTCATCTTTGTGACCTGTTTCTTTACACAGAAGAACGCAACTATTTGTAGACTTTAAAACAAATTACCATAGCAACTAAAAAAAACCCAGAAGAGTTAAAATGCCACTCTTGCTGCTGCTCTCTTTTAATTAAAAACCCTAAAAAGGCATACCCACTTGGATGTTACTTAACAACCAGTAAGGAAAAGATACCGAAGCAGTAAGTAAACTTAAGCGATGTCAAAAACAAATTCTGTTGACCAACATGGATTCTCTTCCCCCTTAAGACCAGTTACAGCTGGAGTCAGAGAAAAGTCTTTTTTTTATCAGGTCCTTCGGTCTCCTGCAGAAAAACCAAGACAAAAACAAAAGTCAATTATTTTCTTTAGCCTGAGCATCAGCACTGGAAGTAAATCCCTCACTTGTATTTTTAAAAAAGATGTCTTCTACGTTTCCTAGCCCCTTCCACCATTCCAACTGCAGTCAGGAGATAAGCTGAGGGCTAAGGGGGTCCGCCTCAGGAGGGGCGACTCTGCCGGGGTGGAGGCGCGGGGGGCCAACGGAAGCGGCCCGCGGCGCTCGCGGGGCTTCCC